ATTAGAACAGGAAAGAGATGCAGATATCAAACCAATACTGGAGTGGCTACGAAGTGGTAACAAGCCAAGTTGGAGTGACGTCGCCCAATATAGCGCGGTAACGAAAGGTTTATGGGCACAGTGGAAAAGCCTTACGCTGCATAACGGACTTCTGTGCAGGAAATGGGAATCAACAAACGGCAAGGACGAGCATTTGCAATTGGTGGTGCCTCGTTCAAAAATAAGGGATGTATTAAAAGCGTTCCATGATGGATCTTCTGGAGGACATTTGGGAATTAGGAGGACTTTGGTGAAGATCAAGGAGAGGTTTTATTGGTTGCATTGCAAATATGACGTCGAAGATTGGTGCCGGAAATGCACTAGTTGTGCAGCTGTCAAGGGTCCACAAACAAGAAGCAGAGGGGCGATGAAAATCTACAATGTTGGTATGCCTTGGGAGAGAATAGCCTTAGACATCGCTGGACCATTTCCAATCACTGATTCGGGCAATCGCTACGTTTTAGTGGTTATGGATTATTTTACAAAATGGCCGGAGGTCTTTGCCATACCGAATCAAGAGGCAGTAACTGTAGCCACGAAGTTGGTAAACGAGGTATTCACCCGATTCGGAGTGCCCTTGGAGATGCACAGTGATCAAGGACGGAACTTTGAATCCCAAGTTTTCCAGGAAACTTGTAAACTTTTGGGAATCCATAAGACTCGAACGACCCCTTATCATCCACAGTCAGATGGAATGGTCGAACGCTTCAACCAAACATTGGAGCGACACTTAGCAAAGGTGGTTGACAGCCATCAGAGAGATTGGGACACTTACATACCTCTCTTCTTGCTTGCCTATCGGACTGCTGTACATGAAAGTACCGCAAAGACGCCTGCATTTGCAAATTTTGGAAGGGAATTGAGATTACCGGCAGATCTTGTATCGGGCTGTCCACCTGGTGACTCTCGCACCGAGTTTAGCGATTACATAAGCGAGTTAAGGGCAAAAATGTTGGACATTTATGAGCAGATCAGGGAGGCCGGTCTTCAAGCTAGTGATCGCGCAAAGACGCGCTATGATCGACGAGCCAATTCTGTTGGGTTTGAAGAGGGGTCATTGGTCTGGCTTCATAATCCAGTCAGAAGGAAGGGAAAATCTCCAAAGCTGCAACCGAGTTGGGAAGGTCCTTACGAGATAGTCACGAAGATCAATGACATTACTTACAGAATTCGGAAGTCTTCAAGGAGCCCTTTGAAAGTTGTCCATATAGACAGGTTGGCGAGGTATTACGGCAGCAACGATGCTCGGGACGAGCGAATCTAAGAGGGGGGCAGTGTGACAGAAAACTCTTTGACATCATGACGTCAATGGATGGTTGTCAAACGTTGCCTAGAGATTGTAAATTTCGTCGTGAATTATCAACACGAGTTGGTGTATCGGTAAGGCGTGTGGATTACACCACAGAGACCCCGAGTTCGAGTCCCGCCGTAAACATGAAGTTTTTTAGTTGATGGAAGTTTTGTCGAACTTTCTGGAATATTTGAGTGAAAGTAATGAAAAATTAAGGAGCGAGAAGGAGAATAAATAAAAATGAATAACGAAATTATTTGAAGGTTCTGGAGGCATGACGATCAAAAAAAGAATAACGAAATTGAATGTTCTAGAACCTGACCGGGGGTATATAAGCGGAACTGCGGCTCACCGCTGGCAGTTGAGTTCTAAGTCTAAAGCGATTCGGAAGAAAAGGAAGAAGTGAAAAAGAAGAAAAGTGAGTGAAATAGTGAAGTGCAGTGAAATAGTGAAGTGCAGTCAGTTAAGTGAAGTTAGCGTGAACGGCAAAGTTGTGTCAGTCGGCCGGACTCTGCTGGAGAGGAACGCCGATAACTTAACTCCGTGGACGCTGTAACTTAAGCGCAATAGAAAGTCTGAAAACCGGTATTAGTGTTTCATTTCATCCAATCCCGTAACCCAAGCCCGCATAGTCAGGAACGTGACGTCAGGCACGTAACAATACTAACAGAAGGACGATATCATAGATATATTATATTATATAGATAGCTTAAACCGCTTAGATATAACAGCTATCTTTAGAAGGACCTAATAATAAACTTCACAAAGGTCCCGTATTCTCAACTATTTCGAAGCAGTGTCACTGACTTATTCTTCAAATACTAATTTGTCCATTAGCTCACGGTCGTTAAGACACATACAGTGGCCACATCTAGTGTACCGTTAATTAAGGACTTTACTGAGTTCCTAACTTTGGCCAATTCTATTTCTCGCTTCTGTCTCTTGGACTGAATAGCGTACAAGCCAGCGCAATGAAAATTTTGCAACGATTTTAGTGGAACAAAGAAAAATAATATATTTTAGGGAGGTGAGCTGTTCCGTTTTTTTATTTAAATCACTTCGGAGCCACACATGTAATTAAATAGTAAAATCCTATTAATATTTTAAATTGCAATATTTTAACCAATTATTATAATGAATTATTGTTGTCATTCGATGATTTGACAATGTTTTAGATTTTTTCCAACTAGTATTTAAAAAACCATTGTGCTAATATTATGTTGCGATTACATAAATTCAATACTTTTATCCAAATGTCAAAAACGACAAATGTGAAATTTGTTTGAAATACTGAATTATAACGTCATAGATTTTTTGCGTCAAATAGTTTTTTTTCCAAAAACATTCAAAACTTAGAGTATCGATCGATTGATGAATAAAAGTATAGTTATTTTTCAATATTTTATTGTATTGAAACTACCCAATTCATTGAAAAATTTCGTTTCAATTTACTTGTAAATTCAAAAAGTATTGAATAGTTGAAAACAATCTAATCAATTGTGTTATGTTTTAGCCTATTGTCATATCCTGGATTGTGCCCGGTTTGAAACTCCGTTCTTCACACTGAAATTGTCAAAAATATATCTATACACGAATATTATAAGACGTATCAATCTGAAAATAGGAGTTTGTTTATTATCAACGCTTTTGATGAATTTTCGTACGGAGACAAGTGGGTGCTTGGCGAAGATCACAAGCTATTTTCAAGAAAATTAATCTTGAACGGGAAAACGAGCTCCTTCCTGCTTGTTTTAGAGCGTGTAGGTACTTTTTTGTATAAAACTGGTTTTTTATATGTATATTGATGTTGGATATTATACATATCTTCCTGGTACAAATATTCACGTAATTGTAATTAAAATATTTTATTTTTATGTTTTTATGACCGTTTTATAGAGAGTGTGTTTCAATTTATACAATACGTGACTATTTTTTTAAACTCTTTTATAACTATAGGTGTACAAAAATTCGCCAGGTTTCATACAACACCAATATTCATGTCATGCGAATAAATAAATGCGTTCAACAACAATCTGTATCCAAACATTAAATGTCGAAAGCAGAGAGGAAACGATTTTTTTACTTGTTTTTTCAACGTTTTTTCGCGCACATGTCCGAAATACTATAGTGGACCGGGACAGAATGACAGGTATGACAATTCAGTGCAGGACAATGCCCGTCTGGATTGTGTCCGCCATTTTACGAGAGCCAAATTTTATGCACATACCAGGGCGGCATAAAGCTCTGATTCTACGTTGAAAGAATGTTGAATGAGTACTGGGCAAATTGAAAATGCTGATCATTGTGCGAGTTGTGTGGGTTTCGAAAAATTCAATTCTAAGGTTTTTATGAAGCGTGTGGATAATTTGGTAGAATGAATTCTTCAGATATCTTAGGATATTTTCGATAAATTAAGCTTTTATATTTCAGCAGAAAAAGATAGTGTTATTTGTTTAAGCTAACGTTCTTCCTTTACCCTCCTAATAAAGATAAAGAAATGTCGTCATATCCTATTGTAATAATAAAAAAACATTGCAACCAACCTAATTAAAGTAAATATACCTCAACTGATTTCTTGCCAACATGAAAAAAATATAACTTAAAAAAAACTTTGCCCGTAAAAATGAATAACTTGGCGAACGTAATTTAAAATGGCAAAGGGCCGTCGCCGTCATCCATAACCTTAAAATATTCTTCCTTGTGTACCACACACACATAAATCTTCATGAGTCGCCATCTTGAAAGTGCATTTACCACGTATGTAGGTAATTTCAACGCGTTGCTGGCAACATTTATCATCATTCGTACTGGCAACACCAAGGAAGACGTATCATGTTGGGCAACTATGTGGGTTTAAAGCTTCTTATCTTTTTAGCCAGGGGTTTGTCTACAATTAGTTTCAAGCTGGGAAGATAAATGATAAAAATGATTTATATGGCTTTCTTAAAGGAAGTTTAGCTCAGTTTAAACCATATTTTATAGACAGTTCAACATTGGGTATTATTCTATCACCGGTGTCGGGTAAGCTTTACAGACATTAAACTAAATAAAAATTAAATGAAGAAATCAAATAGATGAATGAATGGATCTTAGACGCCAAAAACGCCATCTAGCGAGCGCAAAAATGAAATATTTTACTGTAAATGAGTCTGACTGATGAAATGGCCAGAAATGTGCTTTGAGGCCATTTTGTCGCGCTCATCAGACTTGACGCGAAAAAAATAGTTTAGTACCTATTCCGTTTCACTTTTTATCTGTTAGGATGGAAATTTTATTTTTCACCTTCAATTCAACTGAATTACACATAACTAAAATTCCTGTACGCATACAACCTGCTCACATTAATTCTATGCTGCCCTGGTAGCTTACAAAACAAAACAACCTTTTCTAATAACAATCACCTTAATTTAACCAAAACGAGCACGAAAACACGTAAACTTGATATTCTCCTAATAGAAATTCAAATTTATGGTATTACAATAAAATTTTAATCTTCACTTTAAAAGGCGTGCTTCATAATATATTCTTTACCGTAATTACACCTCCGAAATTAATAACCTGAGATATTTTGTACCGCGGTCTTTTGTGCGTGAACTTTGCGGTCGGGAGAGTGTAAGATAAAGTGTAATAACAGGGCCTGTACGACCCAGGTAACAGGGGAATTACTTACCGAAACGGCGACTCCTTGCCGGGTTATTATTCTGTAAAAATAAAAAAAACAAACATGAGAATTTTGTAGATGTGAAATAATCATAATATCTTTACTACACAGTATAAAATAAAGTCACTTTCTCTTTTCTTATATCCGTATGTACCTATACTTAAATCTTTTTAACTACGCAACGGTATTTGATGCGATCGAAGAGAAAGATTCATATTATGTATAATAAAATCAGCATTGGATGCAATGCTTTGCAATCGCCAGTAGTTTTATAATAAACGCCTTCAAGTTGTTTTTTTTAATGTTCATGAGTTGGATAAATAAATGTACTTAAACAAACAATACAGTAATGTTTGCGAAAGAAAGGAGATTCTGAAATTAAATAAAGCAATAATAAATACAGAGAATAAAGTTCGTTGCATTTGTTATCAGGAGTAAAATTGTACTGAAACAACATTACAATTAATCCAACTCTCAGTCGCGGATTAACGTGACACGAGCCTTTAAATCCCCGAGCGCCGTTCGTAAATTAACCCTGAAATTGTACAATACATTCCACCAGCCAGTATTAATACAATTTCAACACGTTTTCAATTTTCGAACTCCATGTGAAATATTACTACAACCTCCTCTTTTGTCTGCTACCCTGGTATGTGTGGAGTAAAATTAAAGTGATTTTTCTTAACCGATTGGAGTAAGGTATTTTTAAAAAAAGGATCTTGGCTTTTCTTTTTCTCGCTTTATATAAAATTTAATTAAAACGTCGAACTCTTTAGCAAAACTTATTTTATTGATAAAATAAGATTTTCTTTTGAAAAATAAATTGACGTTAGAAACTTTATCTCGCTCGATGTTGCCACCAGAAATAAATGATCACTAAAAGTCAGTAAGTTAAGCTATAACTTCCGCGTGGAATTGCCAACAAATCGCGTTAAACTGCTCATGAAAAATATGGCTAGTTTTGTAATGAGGTGGAAGACTATTGTAGATAAGTTACAGCTTTAGAGCGCTTGAAGTATGAATTATGCTGGACCATGCGCCACAGTTTGGCTAGTTGAGCTCACACGTGTTCATATTGGGACACACGGCTTTCAAAAATATCGAATGATTTGGAACCATTTCTTTATACGATTGCTTGCCATCAGGTAATCCGTCTGGTGGTTTGTCGACCTACGATAAAAGACACAAAGTCTTACGGTGGTTCTGAATCTGTTCTTATTCTATTTTTCTAGAAAGATCTCTCTCTCGTTCGATGATCACTTGTATGCGTTTGTAAGTTAAGAAAGCGTTAATTGTCTAAAGGCTAAACAATTGATTACTTATTTATTAATTTTGGTGTATTTTTATTATGAACAAATTAATTTTGTGCCTATTAGGTTACTGACCGCTCGCCGTCTGGTCCCATCGGTGTTGGTATTGAAAAATACAAGCAATAGCCTTATTTCCCGTAGGACCTCTTTACAAGGACACGATTATTTGTTCTAGAAGCAAAAAAACCTTTTTAATTTCTATGAGACACGGTCATAATCAATTATAACGTTTTTTTTTATTTTTATCTTGAGAATTATTCAAGTTACATCATAGAATAGTAATAAGACCTTCATTAAAACTTAAATTTACCTGAAGATGCCTGATAATTCCGAAATAATTTATATGTAACGTTTAAGAAAAAAAACAGAACAGCGTAGTGGACTGTTGTAACTAAACAGTTTACTACGAAGTAGGTTGTGTAGTACTCATGCTACGATTATCGTAGCAAATCGTCGCGTAGCACTTGGCTACGACTCGTAGAGGGATACGTATAGCGCTTTCAGCAGCTTCAGTGAAAAATAATAGTTGTATTTGGCACTTATGAACTGTTCTGTACTGCACAAAATAAAATGCTCCAAATCTATTGTTTGCCAAACTTTTATTCGATGTGTCGACGTTTCTCAATTAATGACGTCACACGCGCGCTCCGCAATAAATATTGATAACGCAGTTCCGTTTGGACAACATGTGATTCTGACGTTTTAGAGATGTTGCTCTGTATTTTTATAGTGCCTTAGTACAGTTAGTATGGTGTAGTAGCGTATCATTGCTGCATATGAACAGGTTTCCAATAAATTGTATTTTATATTCTTCATAAATGATAAATAAAAGGTGTCATATCTAAAATGTATTTATAATTTGCAATTCATATCTAAAAATAACTCCACACAGCTTTAATTTCAAAAGCACTAAGTAACTGAAACTTATTTCATTAACTTTAATTTGATTTGTTAATATAGCATTAAATTACTAAACAATATCTGTGAATTCATCCGTAAGCAATAAGGTCGGGAAATGCATTCTATTGGCGATTGCAAACAGCGTGCAGGTCTAACCAATTACATTTTCCATTTTGCACAATATGCAAATTCAAATACCGAATAATCAAAGCTTGATTCGATTTAAACTCGATTATTTGGTCATTGGTTAGGCAATGATTATTTTAATTCAGAGAATAACGATGCATGTTAACCTCCTGTAGTGAATAGACATTCAAAACAATACAGAAACAAAATCTAAATATGAATTTTTCAGTGAAATCGTCAGAGCGAGCGACACTGGGACATAAACTATCATAAATATTGTTCTCATGCACACGTTTACGGGAACGCCGGCGTTAAATCCAGCGATAACACTGCCAACAGCCGCCATATTTCACGGCGGGAAAAAATTAAAATGTGTCAAAATGACTCGACCGCGCCCCTTTACACGACACGGAAGTTATTAAAAATGCATAGTTTTTCGCAGTATCACCTCATTTGAAAACGTGTGTATTTATTTCGTTACGTGGAACAAGCAAATTGCTTAGCGAGTTAGATGGATTGATGGCTGACTGTCTGACTGCCGGAATGTTGTGTTTTATTTTATTTGCTTTCCATATTTTAATTTGTTTTGTGAATTTACGATGACAACCTTTTGACAGTTTGACAATGCTTTTATAAAACAACTGGTGTGGTTTGGTTATACAACAAAACGTTTTTTTGGAAACATATTATATACATATAATCTGGTTATCAAAATAGATGCCAAATGGTTGAATTGAACACCTTCACTTCACCTTACGGTATTATCGTGATCTAAATTTGTTAGAAGTAGCTCAGGGTACTACGTCAGAGTATTTGAAGTTGAAGTGTCCTCAATATTCAAGTATTCCGCATTTGCGATTAGTCAAACAATTGAAAGATTTATTATTTCCTGCTTTGGTATAAAATCGTTTGAATACAAAGCTTCAGTGTGTATTGAAGAAAGGTATCGTTTGAGTTCCAAGTACATACTATGTTAAACATTAAAGACTGAAATTTAAAAATAGAAATACTTAATATTTGCCCTCCAATATTGGATTTTGTTTCATGCTCCGGGCTTTCAAGGCTGTGATACTTCCGAGAGATTCATTCGAAAATATTTTAGAAGTTTTAAACACCTTACCTATAGAGGACTATATTTCTTTAGAAATGCTTCTCCGCTAACTTTTGCCGCATCGTCAACAACTCGATATAAAGTTAGCTTCCATAATTAATTGCTATTCATTACAGCACCGAAACTCGATCATTACCAGCCACATAAAACAGAGAATGGACTTACCTGCCAGCCCGCCAATATCGACCTCGCCTCGCTTAAAAGTCGCGCCGAATTCACAGATACCGAACGAAAATAGAATATAAAACGAACGGATATAAACTGTCAGACGAATATATAGGCTGTACAGTTTTATACCTTTGCGTAAAATGCCTTAGTTGTAGGCTGAATGATTTTAAGCCTTCGTGCGAAAAATAAATATTGATTCTTATTACTTGTCTATGTACAGAGGGTGTCACTGGTCATGTTGCGAAGTTCAATTAGGTTGATTGATTCCTTTGCATACAAAATTGAATAGCTTTTTTGGATAATAAATTGGTTGGTTGATACAGTAGCTAATTCAATTGTCGTGTTTTTTTCATTTATTGCCCTAGTCGTTAAATTAACATTTCAATGAAACCAGAAAGCACTGGCTAATGCATATTTATATTGAATTTAAAAAAACGTTTTTATTCCGAATGTAATCGAATTCTACATTCAAATATTTGACATTTGAACATGTTGGTCCAATCAACTGTCGCCGAAGGTTGCTCCGCTGGCAATAATTTGTACACATTTTGCTGTATCCTATCTCCATATTAACTCAATAGCGGTTTGGGGTTTGAAGGCAACGTGTAAACTGGAATTCAACGTAAATTCCGCAAAATACGAGCCGAAATACGAACGTGGTATACGGTACAATAAATTGTCGCGTTAAAGGATTGCGCATGTGGAAAAATATTTAAATCAAAGGTACACAAATAAAATACATTATGCCATTACTGTAGATACACACATAAATACTTTTGCTGAATATTATGAGCATAATCCAAATTAATATTTTAAACGTGAAAGTAACTCTTTCTGTCTGTCTGTCTTTTCTTCACGCCTAAACTACTGAACCTATTTTTGTGAAATTTGGTACAGACATAGTTTGGAAATTAAAAAAAGGACATAGGATAGTTTTTTAAACAAAAGTCTGCAGGAAGTCACTATTCCACGCGAACAAAGTCGCGTGCAAAAGCTAGTTATCCTAATATAATAATAATGATATACCTACTAAATCAATATTGGTCAGGGGCAGGCACCATAGTATTTCCATAGTTATCTACCAGTTCATATCCACCCACTACCATAACCATATAATTTTCTACCATATTGCACAATAGTCCTGCACCAACCGGGGATTGTTGTTGGATGCACTTTCATAGTGTAAGAAGAGATGATAATCGGCTGATGTCCCATTGCACTAATATTAACGTTGTTTAACGTGGTTCTGCGATTTGAGTTTGGCCCCTCGTACGCCTTCCAAAGGTCTGGGGCCCTGTGGTCCCGTGAATGGAAGCGAATACCGACTAAAATAATATGTGATTCAATATAATACGTATACCTATGTACGTTGTGGACTATAGACACAGAACGGCCGCCATATCTTGATGAGTCTGAAGTTAGCCG